ATAACCTTTTTATTCCCTAATAGAAAGTTGTTCAGAGTATAATTTTATATATATTTCTTACTTTAAAACTGTTAAATTTTTTCTTTTGGCTGATTTATATTTCAAATTATATCAAAGTTGCAAAATTTTAATTTAGTTTAAAACATATTTTATTCTCCTTTTTTTGATGTATTTATTTATAAAATTTAATTTAAAGTTAATATGTAAGTTGAAAAACATTATCACAACAAAGTTTATATATAATTCTATATGTTTTTTGCTATAATTTTATATATAAAAAAGTTAAGTGTGACATATCATATAACTGATAGTAAAAATATAGTAAAAATTCAAAATTTTAAAATTGTTAAAAATCTGAAATTTTAATAATAAATATTTTTAATTTTATATGATTAAAAAATTTGATATTTATATTTTACAATGAATAATTTTTACCAGGGCTAAAAAAAATTAGAGTTTTTTTTTTTCTAATAACAAAATGCCTTAAAAAGGATTTTATATATATTTTACTATAAAATTAATCATTGGGTGTTACTTTTGTTGCCTACGGTACTTTTTATATAATTATATATAATTATATATAATTATACAAAAAGTATATAAAATATACAAAAAATATATAAAATATGCAAGAGATATATAAAATATGCAAGAGATGCATAAAAATATACAAAAGATGTATAAAAATATACAAAGAGTGCATAAAAATATACAAGAAATATATAAAAATATGCAAGAAGTGCATAAAATATATAAAAGATATATTATATAATACTGTACATATATAAGCTAAACTTAGAACTTGAAGTAAGTTAACTCAACTTTTGAGTTAAGCAAACTCGAACTTTTAACACCTTTAACAACATGCATTAAAAAAATGTATATTTATAGAGATCAATTATATATTTGAACCAGAATCTGAGCGTGCATTTAGAAAGGGAGTGCACTTATAGAGGGTGACTTAGAGAGGTCTGACTGTATAAAAAACTTCGTTATCAATTGTGTAATAACTCTGTGTAATATCCACTGTCTCTGCTGTTTAATTTATTAATATAAACGCAGATCACAAAATTGAATTTTTTAAAAAAAAAAATTTTTGGCAATTTGTCATTGGTTGTTATGCCATACCCTGGATGGTTGTAAAAAAAAAAAAAAAAAAAAAAAAAATACATATATATAGCCTCGAACTTTTCAAAATTCGATCACCTAGTTGAACTCGTAATTTAGATTACGAATTTGTGGTAAAAGTTACGAGCGAAGCGAAGCGCGGTAAACTTTACAAGGTCATCGGCGCGCGCCTTTACTTATGAATGCGTACCTTTTGGGTACCTTAGCTTCTTTTGGAGTTGGTTATATTGCTTGTCACTACAACTTAGTGACTAAAGTATACGAAGCTTTTAACGACATTCCGTCAACTACTCATAAGGTATTTTTTTATGAATTTAAACGAGATCTAAAGTTTTACAACGTAATCTGTCAAGCAATTTAAAGATTAAAGCTTTCTCTTTTTTTTTTTTATGTATTGATTTTCTATTTTGTATGCAGCGTCACCTTCTTTACGTGTTTGTGGGTCTTAGTATACTTTTTCTTTTTATTCTTATTCCTCTATATCGAATTGCAGATTACGAATCTAAAAGAGTGAGTGTTCATACTTTTACACTTAGATCAACCTATCAATAATTGATTATTCATGTTAATTTATATGTACAGAATAACGGTTACCCTTACAGGACTTCTGCTAGAGAACATCTTCAACGAAGAGGAAGTTTTGCCGTAGAATCATGAACGCGCCTGGAACTGTATCCAAGATATTCTGGCCTGCACACGTTTGTTCAGCCCGGACGAAATCGGGATTTTTGGTAGGCTGGAGTGTTTGTAGCTTTACAGCCTGCGTTGCTTCAGTGATTTCTAATGTAAAAGTATGTCATCACTATTCATATATAAGTGTTCCTATATCAACACCAAATACGCTGATGAACTTTTATACTTAAGCTTAAAGATTTGGAAGCTGCTTTATCGGCATTATCGACGGATAATAGCTCATCGTTTGTATATATGGGTAAAGTTTGTGGTGCGCCACCAATTGTCTTGGGCGTGATAACTACATATTCAAGTAATGACGATATCCATGATAATATTCATAAAGAAGGTATAAAGATCATAATTACTATGATACTGATTATAACCTTCGTCAATTTAGCATAGAAATTTAGGACAGGTTGTTTATAATTTATAACTTATTTATTGATGTTACAAAGGCATTGCCGATAAAAAGAGGACGGCAGAGTTTTGGATGACGATCCATTTACAGGATAATAATATGCCTTCGCTCAGGTTAGGAATCTTTAATATTATATGATGTGAGTAAAGTTGCAGGTGAAACTGGTGAAATTATAACAAACAGTGAGAAAATCAAGTTGAAACTATGGTGAAAGTCAAATTAGTTTCACCTGCAAACTAGCAAAAAAAAAATTAAATCTTTTTTTTTAAACTTTGAAAAAAAAACTTTATATCATATTTGATAAAAATTTTGTAAAAATTTTTTTATCAAATTTGATCAAGTTCTCATTATATTTGTTATAAGGTTAAAATTGCCATAAAAAATTTGCTTTATTTCTATTGACTCACTCCCATATGTCTAGGATAAATATTGAGGAAGAATCTACAAATGAATCACAA